ACGCGCTGCAGCAGCCCGGGGACACTGATTTCCACGAGCTAACCACCAGCCTTCCAAAAACGATCGCTGTGTTACAGTAAGAAAATATCAAATGGTAACTTAAACTTGGACTATGAGGAAGGTAAGAAACACCCTTTCTAGGCATGCTCTAGGATGAGCTCAGCAGTTTACTGAGAAGACGCATAGAAAAGGTGAACGATTAAAACTAACTTAGAGAATACATCACTGAGGAAGTGGAGTCACTGAGTGGGAAAACTGCTTTCTCCTGGAGCAGACCACTTAGATTTTTTTTTTTTTTTGAGTACCTCCACTTATCCCATGCCCTGTCTGCAACCCAGAGGAAAACAGCACTGCAGTGGGAGCCATAGGCTTTGCCTAAGGATACACAGATGAAGCTCTGGCCACCAGGAGCTCATGCCTAGGGGGACAATGCATCCCACAGAAAGGTTACAGAACCCTGCCCACTTTGCCCCTCACCCCCTTCACCTCACCAGGGAAGAAGAGAGCTGCTCCTCTCACCACGGAAGCAGACCCTGAAGAGATGGTCACACGGCAGGGGAGAGCACTGGAGCTCAGTCTCAAACCTCAGGCCTGTTCCTGCTCCCCTCCATGACCTAGGAAGCCAGGTCCCAGGGAAGGAGAGTGGCACTCCTCCCAGGGCCACTCAAGGCCTGGACCTCTTTCCTGAACAATGCATGCAAAGAATGATGCATTCCGAGAGGTCAAGGCCAGTAAAAGCACCAGCTTCCAAGACAGGAAGTGACAAGGGCTGGGGCTTTAAGAGTACAGAGAATATGGGTGGGCAGACAGAGTGACCACAGAGTCAGGCCCGAAATGGAAGGGTCCTTCAGCCCACAGCACCCTCAGACTAAACAGGACACCCTTCATGCACCCAGAAGAGCCCCATGAAGCAGATGATGGAAGCAATTTGTGCCCATTTCTCAGGCATCTCACCTTCCCATTGCTAACCCCCGTGGGGACAGGTGTGGCGACAGGAACTCTGGCTGACCCTCACTCTATCACTTGGCTTCTTGGGCCAGTTTTCTCCTCAGTTCAAAGCAAAAGTCAAGTGCGTCTGTTTCCTCCAGTCCTAATGCCTAAGAAGCTAAGAGAAAATCCCAGGAACCCAGAAGCCTTCTATGGGACTCAGCTCTCACTCAGGCCTTATAATTCCTTCTTCTTGTTTCATTAAGCATAAAATTAGAAAGAACCAAATCCTGACATATTCTACGCAGCATGGAGAAAACAAGCCAAGAAATAAAAACCACCCCAAAAGAAATCTCAAGACAAGCAGACACACGTGGGCAGGAGCTCATCATGTGGCAAAGTTGTCAGCCAGGTTCCAGCACAAGAATTCTAGACCCTGGAACCAAGCAGCCCCGCCCTCAGCTCTCTCATGGGACAGTGCCTGTCCTCTCTTCCCCTCATCGTGGCGGCTTACCCCTATCACTCCAGTCCCTGAATTTCCTGCCATCATTTAACCCTCTTAATTCAGTCTGCAGCAAAGAATTTGGAAACTGTGTGTTGTCCCTTGTTCCTAATTACTTCATACGTGTTAGCTGCTTCCCCACACAGGTGCCAAGAATTCTGTTTTATAATCCTCCACAGAGCTAGCTGAACAGTAGATACCAAATTATGTTTGTTGGCTGATTTACACATCATTCTATAGACACAGAGGCCACTATGCAATAGTAATAACTATTCCTTGTTTTATGGCCCTGTTGTGTTCATTTATTTATTCAATTTTTATAGCCAGCTTTATGGTCAGAGCAGAAAACTGAAGTCAGTTCACACAAGTTCGATACCAGGCCCAAGAACACGGGGCCTATACATGAAAAGGATGGCTCTGAGCCCAAGACTAGCACCAGCTATCCTGTGCTGCCCCCTGCCACGATCTGAATAACAGTGGCTCTGTAACAGAAACTCTTGATCTCTGAGAACAAAACAGATCAACACATCCTCATCTATGAAGGCCTGAAATTGATAGTGGTTGGCCCCTCAAAGACTATGAGAAATATGTTGTAAGGGCTGGATGAAGAAATCAGATGTGAAGCCCAGAGCCAGGAAGAAACCTCAAGAAGTGTACCTGAAAGAAGAGGAAATCCTCCCATATCCTCTTCTTTTGTCCCCAAGGGACTCCCTGTCCCCAGAGGGCTTAGCACTCCAGACTCAAGGGGAGAGAATGGAACAGGGTGGGCAGAGGAGGGGGAGGGGAGACAGAAGAGCCAACTGTGGGGGATGGGATGACACTGGGAAATTTGGGGAGCTGAATCTACACAGAAGTTCCCAAACTCTCAGACACCCAGGGACAGGGAACAGGAGGGCCATCAAAAGAAGGTCCTGTGAATATCCGGAAGTCCAGCTTCCCCAATACCCCAACTTCAAACAAGGAGTGATTCTTGCGGGCCCTGCTCTGCCCCAGGCTAGATGAGCTGGCTGCCCCAGTTAACTGTGCATCCCGAGTACATGTGCGGAGACAGAAGGGATGTGCCTGCCCACCTGTGGCAAAAATGCCAAGGTCCAGCCATCCTCGGCGTGTTCTAAGAGCTGTATTTGCTCAACCTGCCAGCTTCCAACTACCAGGAGCATCTGCAGCCAACACTCAAGAAGGAAAAAGGATGGTGGTCTGCAGAGTAGCAGCCGACAAGCTCACAGGGCAGGTGCTGGCCAGCATTTCACCCCTGCTCACCTGTGGGACAGGAGGCTGGAGGAGAGAAGGAATGGCTGGGTGCTCACAGCTGTGACACTGCTCTATCTGTGCTCAGGGTTACTCCTCATGGTCCCCTGATTCTACACCTCACCACGATCTCCAAAAGAAACCCCAGAATAAGGATCTGAATACAGGCTTTCCGGGCCAGTGGCCATGCCTCGTGTCCTCTGCAGGGACCCTTCATTTTATGAATGACAATGACTCAACACTCAATCTGAGCAAGGACAATATCTCCAATTGGGAAGAAGGGTTACTGCTCTCTAAATTTGCCACATTTGCAGAAAGCATAAGACACAAACCCTGTAAGAGTGCACAGTCTCCCAATCTGTGTATGTTGGTTTCAGTTGAGCAAGACGGCTGGCCTTACAAGTGGCCTTTGTGAATATTTCCAGAATATCACAAACATGGGACACCACACTCATGCTGCTCATCTCATAGTTTTAGGAAAAAAAGTTCAGGTGTCATTTCCACAGGGAGTGAGTCCACAGTGACACCAGTACATTGACACTCTTAACCTCCAAGACTGGAAACCTCCCCAGTCTCCCCCAGGACACTCCGTAACCATAGGCCCAGCAAAGCCTCAGTCTCCTCTGCACCACCCAAGCCAGTGGCCTCCTCCCAACTCCTCCCCATCCACAGGGTGACCAGAATTCCTGCCTGAGATGACTGCACAGTATCCTGTTCCAGCTGCAGGCAGGCCTCCTGGACCTCGCCAGCGAGATCTGGGCCTAGTTTGCTCCATACCTGATCATTAAGATCTGGCTCCTATGGCAACGGTCTCCACCAAATGGCCCAGCAAACCTCAGACAAAGCACAACTCCCAGGCACCAGCTGTCCTGCTCCTCAGCTGGCCAGTTACCACTACCACACAGAAGAAGCTGAACAAATTTTTCACCAGGGGTCAGTTTTCCAGGCTCACCACTAGTGGTGTATAAAGACCAGTGTCTTTTCAGGCCACCAGGACTGATGGACAGCCCGGTCCATTCTGGTGAGAAGCTCCTGTGCATGTCCCCAAAGTACCCACCACCTGACTCAGTATCAAGCTTCCAACTACTCCCAGGCTCTTACCTGCCCTGCCTCCACATTCTAGGCCTGCCCTGAGGCCAGGGGAGAAAGAGATGACCTCTCCCTAGGCAGAGGAGGGTGGGCACATTCCATGCTGGTCTAGCGCACTGTGGTGTAAGGACCGCAGTCCCTGCAGTTCCAGGGACAGGCAGAGACTAAGGCAGAGACCACAGAAGAAATAAACTGACAGAGGTCAAGAATTTATGAGAAAGAAACAACACAGCAGAAACAAAACTCACAGAAACAAAAATGATTCTGTTGGAACCCAAAGTGCCTTTTAGTATACCAATAAAATTACCAGAACCATCCAGACTTGCTCCGCAGACTTACACTGTGGACAGGATACTGCGGACTTGTGTGGACGTGTTGCCCTAAATGTCCTCTCAAACCCCCATTTGGAAACAGCTTCGGGACAAATTATGCATTCTGACAAAAAGGATGACAGCAGGCCTTGGAAGGAAGAAGCAGTTCTAGAATTCGGAAGGGTAGGGGTAAAAAGGGCTGGCGAAAACCAGTGCCCTGAGCCTGCGCCAACTCACTGCCGGGCGCAGGGTGAGGGGGATTTACCCACCCCAACCCACTCCCTGGATCACAACAGCCAATTTTATGCCCATAGGTCCCAGTGGAGCTGGGTATTCCTTCGGCAGACCCGTGATACAGAAGCCCCCGCCCCGCGCCCTTCACACCCCAACACTGAAAAATGCCTGCAAACTCTCTTCCCGGACAGCACATCTTCATCTGCAACACCACTACCTAGCAACCCCGACCTTTGGGTCTCCAGGGGCTTACACCCTACACTCGGGAAGGGCTCCACCTCCACCAGAAGGGCGCGGGTTTCTTTGGAATCAGTTCACCCAAAACTTTGCAAACTCAGTGGCCCGTGAAGCGGGTCCTCCACAAAGGCACCCAGCTAACGCCAAAGAGGCAGAGCAGGGCTCGAGCTCGGGCTGGCTGCACCGCGCCCCGCAAAGTAGCCTCCGGGATCGCACCCCCGCAGCGGGGCGCACCTCCCGGCGGCGCTGGGCGCGGACCTGTGCGAGCACCCCGCGTCCTCCTGCAGGGGGCGGAGGCCGGGAGCCGAACCCGAGGCACCCGCTTCGGAGGATTCCCACAGAGGTGGCCGGCGCCCACCCCACGCGCCTCAGCTCCCCAGGAAGCCCGGCTGCCCGCACGCCCGGGCTCGCCGCCAGGGCCCCGCACGGCAGGCAGGACAAAGCTCACTCACCGCCCGGCCGCGGCGGCAGGCGCGGGCTCGGCGCTGGCGGGGCTCGGGCTGAGGACGGGCGGCGCCGCGAGCCGGCGGGCGGGCGCAGACGGCGGAGGCGCGGAGCGGGAGGCCCCGCGCGGCGAGCCGGCAGCCGGTGGCCGAGCGCCAAGCCGAGTCCCGAGTGGAGGCGAGCAGCGCGCCCAGGCCTCAGGGGTCCGGACTCCGACTGCCGCCGCGGCAAGGGGCACGCGCTGATTTGCATGTCATTTGCATGGCGCTCCGGGAGTGGCCCCGCGCCCTCCTGCCACGCCCTCCGCGCTGGCCAGGGAGTCGCGTGCGGAGGATCGCAGCGCTGTGCAGCGGGCTTGGGAGGCAGCCGCGGGGGTGTGAGATTGCAAGTCTGCGTGTCTCCGAGCCCCGACCGCGCAGTGGAAACCTTAACAGTAACTCCCTTTCTCTTGGATAACACCTATCAGAAACAATAATGGCCCAGTAAGTCTCCCCCAAACAGATACCGGTATGTTTCTGTTTTCTTGTGTTTTGGTTTGTGTTTGTTTGTTTTTAACAAAAGATCGTGAAAGACTTGCTCACTTTCAAAGTTAGAAATGTCACTTGCAATTTGTTCACTGAATGAAATTTTTATAAACAGGATAACAGACTTAAAAAATGCAGGTTCTGGATTGTAGACACCTACTTCTGACATCTACCGGTAGCTGCAAAACTTTGGATAAGGTATCTAATGTCTCCGAAGGGTTTTGTTGTCTCTAGGCTGGGGATGCTCTGAGTACCTCACAGGAATGGGACAGTAACTGCTTACAACTGTACCTAATACTATTACTTTTTTCTCTCCTCTCTACTGGCAGCTGAACCCAGCGGTGTTCTACCGCTGAGCTACATGCTCTGTTCTGCTCTTTTTGTTTCTTTGTCTGTTTTTCAAGATAGCATCTCACTGAGTTACTCAGGCACGATTCGAATTCTCAATCCTCCTGCCTCAGTATCCCTAAGTACTAGGACCATAGTTGTGGACCACGCTCCTGCTACCGTTAGATCTTAAATGTGCAAGTCCAGTCTAAATCTACGTCACAGAATGGATCTACATCTCCCTGAGGCAAGAGGAAGGGACGGAGAAGAGGCTTGTTGAAAGAGAAAAGACAGATTCCAGAGAGCCTGGGACTTTTCACCCAGCTCCTTGGCTAACCAGACCAGCTGTTTCTTCAAAGAAAATTCAATTTTGAATCTATTCTTTGAAACATTATCTTGGTTAGGTTTTGTCATGGAAAAGTTCCTACAGTGCAATACCTGAGTTTTTGAAACGAATATAACAAAACAGCGAGAACAATATTGTATTTCAAAACCAAGAAACAAGACAGTTGCTGTATTGCATATTGTTCTCCTCTAAATGTATGCTCAGACTACCGACTTTAGAGGTGCAAAGTCAATCAGTATAAGCATTACGTTGGTTTTGTGCCTCAACTGCTATCATCCCAACCTCTGAGTCTGCTGCTTGTGTACTAGGGATGAGGGAGAGAAGGCCCTTCCCGTCTCCCAGCCTGTGCACCGGCTGGAGCAAGAAAAGATGGGTGTAGTTCCTCATTCTCTTCCTGGCCGACAAGCATGGCTGCCCCTGGCTCCTGGGAAGGGTGGGCTGACTCTTGGGTCTCTTCCCAGCCCGTGACTGCTGCTGGCTGCTAGTGAAACTGGTCAGTGACAAAGCTTCAGTGCAAACCAAAAGGTCGATTCAGAAGATCCTATTCCTAGTCTATAGCTTTTCCCGCAAAGAATTCCTCATACACATATGTGCCTTACTCATATCCTCTGCTTCCCTGTTTGCAAAGAAAGGTTTTCTTGCAGGTGACAGCAACAGGCTATAGATTCTTGTTGGTTTACATGTCTTGTTAGTTTACTGGTTACCTACCCTTCTTGCTCTGTACAACAGGTAGATCTTTCAGCCATTGTTCCCAGGTGAACACTTTGTCCCTAAGTGTGGGCTTTGCTGTGCTAAGTCATCCTTCCTGATGTCTCTTTGCACTCCCCTGCCTAGGTCACCAACATCTTTCTAGAAAAAAAAGCTCTACATCATGTGTGGAAGGGTGGCAAGGAGTTTGAGGGGGAACAAAAGTATCTACAGATGATTAGAGGTAGTATACAGGGGGAAGTCACTTGCATTCATATTTTTTCATTTACACTATTTAAATAGTTCTTCCTGACTATTTAAAGCAGTGGATTTAAATGTTCTACAAAGTCTTACATGTAAGCCCAACACGTGAAATAGAGGAAAGCAGAGCTGCTCTGAATGAGGAAGGGCTGGGACCTGAGTCCTGATTGTGGCTCCACTCCAGCCTCCCCTGTCACCTCCTTGCACTCCTGGAGTTAGAAGCTTTCAAAAGTAGCTACCACAAGCAGGAAACTATCAAATGTTTCATAGCAAGTGCAAACATAATACAAGGCAAGCCACAAACCAAACCCAGTTTCAAGGAAGGTATATTCCACTTCACTGAGAGATTCTCAACACACCATGAAAGAAAGATTTTAGAGGAGCATGCAGTGATGAGAGATGCTTGAGAAAACATCCCACAGTCTTACATAATTGGGTGCTCCCATATTTGGTACATATTATATTTATGATTGTTATCACTTCCTCTTGAAGTTTTCCCCTAGCAAGTATGTCATGACCTTCTTTTTTCTTGGTTTGAGTTCACATTATCTAGAAACAGACTACCTGTGCTTTTTTCTGGGTTCCTGTTGCTTAGAGTATAGTTTTCCATCTTTTGACATTCATTCTATAAATTTCCTTTTGAGTTAAATGTGCTTCTTGTATATAGCATATTGTTGTTTTTTTTTCCTTGATCCATTCTGCCCGTCTATTTCTTTTGATTGGTGATTTACATGAATATGTACTGGCTTATGTTTGTCATGTTATCTTTCTGCTATTGGTTCTCCTCTGTTTAACAGTTTGTCCTGCTTTTCGGTTTGTTTCTGTTTTAGTGCCTTTTGTGTCCCTCTTGTAAACTCTTTTAATTTCTTTTTAACCTCGACTCAGCCTTAAGTTTTGAACATGCCTTGCTAGACCAGAACTTACCAGCCTTTCCTGACCTCTGAGGATCCCTTATCTGTGATACTGAGTAAACCCTCCTAGTCTGAGATGTTTCCCTGCTGGGTTCCAAAAGCATGTGCTTCATCCCCAGTAATCTACCAAGTCTTTGAGCATAAGGACTGGGTTCACTTTTTCTATGCACCCTAGCAGCCAACAAAAAGCTTGGCACAAAGGAAATGAACAAATGCATGTATTGTATTGTCTGTGGAAATAAATTTTAGACGATACTGACTGTCATGATGGTTACTTTTAGGTGTTACGATGGTTTGTGTCTAGATATTCCCCCAAAGCTTCATGTGGTCATAGGGCTTTTTCAGAGGTGGCTCAATCTAGAGTGTGTGATGCTGGGATTGTATTATGAATGCTACATCCACCCTAGGGTGGATAGCCTGCATATAATATAAGGGACAGAAAGAGTTCTGTCTCTTTCCCTTGTTGCTTTTGCTATCTTGTAAGTTTCATGAATTTTTGTCTTCTGCCATGCCACCCTGCCTTGGAGCCAGCTGATTATGGACTGAAACCTCTATTCAATGTGAACCAAATAACTTTCCCTCTTGTTTAGGTGTTGGGCATTGTATCTCAGTAATGAAAGAAAAGTAAGTAGGACAGGTGCCAATTTGACTAGATTAAGGACTACCTAGAGAAGAATATGGCATTGCTTCTGTGCATGTCTGTGAGGGTGTCTGCAAGACTGGCATGTGCATTGGAGGACCGAGTAAAGAAGATTGGCCCTAAGCATTGGCAGGCACCATCCAATCAGCAGGCCCTTTAGATCAGCAACAATAAACAACACAGGAAAAGCAGTGTCCTATCTTGGCTCCAGGGCTGGAACATTCTACTCTTGTCCTTAGACATCTGGAATCTAGGCTCTCTGACTATTGGACGCTGGGACTTACACTAGACTGCAAACCACACATTCTGAAGTGTCAGACTTGAACTGTAAGCTGGGTTCTCCAGCTTACAGATGAGGTTCTCAGCCTCCATAATTTGTGAACCTATTCCCCTAATAAACCCCATGTTACATGTTTTAATATCGTATTAGTTCTGTCTCTTTGGAGAAGTACAACTAACATTGCAAAAGTAAAACAAAACTGCCTCTACCCAATAGACAAGACAAAGCTGGGGTCAGATGGAGCCCTTACTCTCCTGATAGGAGGAAAGAAACTGCCCAACCAGTGGAACCTGTTTATTTATATCCTCCAAAACAGAATGTCAATTTCAACCCCACTGCCTAGCAACTTGTTTGCCTGGCAGGCCTGGCCCCTTTCCTTCTCCATGCTGGAACAACTTGTTTACATAGTTTGTTTTGGTCTCTGCTTTTTCTGGGCTGGACTTACTTCGGCCCCACACATGTGATCAGTCTTCAGCTTCACACAAAACAAACAAGCAAACAAAAATCTTAACAATCTCATAACGAAAAAAATATAATTTTTTGGGTGCAAATAAGATTTATTGACAGATGCCCACCTGACTCATACAGATGATTAGGATTTTGCATAAAAAATGGGAGCACAACACAAAAATAAATAAGGGAGAGAAAAAAGGAAACCCTTTTGGAAGACCTAAATTTTTGAAAAATTTTATTTAATTAGCACATTTGTGCGTTCCTTGTGGGAAGTTGATATATGTATATAATACTTTTGGATTCATGCTTTCCTTTCCTTTCCCTCCCCCACTTGTGCCTCCACCCGTCTCTTGATCCCCTCCCCCCTGCTCTGGTGTGTGTGGACAGTGCACTTCTTGTGTGGCCCTGAGACAGGAAGTTAACAATCTCAATCCCTTTTCTCCTCTCTTCTCCCTCTATCTCATGATGCCCTTCCCCTTTGAGAATGATCTGTCTCCCCACTTCCTACTACTTTTATTTTGCTCTTTATTTTTACTTTGCTGTTCTCATGTAAGACAAACCATACAGTATTTAAGCTTGTGTGTCTGATCTCTCGCTCTGAATATGGTCTCGGGTTGGATTCTTTTTCCTACAAGTGACTGGAGTTTGGCTTTTGGCAGACTGCTACTCCCTTCCATGTAAACAGTACATCCTCTTCATTCATTCATTTGTTGATGGACATACTGGCCACTTCCAAGATGTAGCTACTATGTATCATGCTGCTATAAACATGCATATACATGTGTTGCTGTAATATGATGTCTTTAACTCTTTCAGGAAAGTTTCTAGAAGGGGAATAGATGGATCTCACGGAATTTCTAGATTTAGATTTTTGAGGAATCGCCATACTGGTCTCCAAAGTGGTTCTACCAACCTACACTCCCACCAGCAGTAGAGAAGGGGGTGTTTTATTCCTACAGGCTTGCCAACATGTGTTACTCATTGATTTGTTAATGATAGCCATTCTTTCTGGAGATGGAATTTCAGTGTTGTTTTAATTTGCATTTCTCTAATAGCAAGCAATGTTGAGCATTTGTTC